GCAATATTAACAGTTAAGCTGCCGGGCACTTCATTTTAATATTTTTATATAGCGACAATGCTTGGCTAGAAAAACCTGTGCAATTGCTTTCTTGTTAAGTTGCTTTCCAATCTTTTGCTAATACTTATGTACGTACAGTGGTCTTGTACGATAAGGTGTGAATAAATTACATAATTTTTATAAGAAATTCATTAGCTTTATATCTGGGAACCGAATATTATAATTGCAAATCCTAATATCAAAAACTGATAAAGATCTACATATGGAAAGTAAACAAACATGTAAAAAATTTGCAATTAGATATATGTTTGTAAGTCGTAACTCAGAAAAGTTAAAAAACAACCTAGCGATCTGATCAATTCTATCAAAATAGACGAATATTATCACGCAATATATATATCCATTATATTGTCCCTTTATAGACATTGGAATGTATGATTTCTACGATTTCACTAAAAATTAAAATTTTTTACCTCCCATATTTGGTTGGGCTGAAGTGTATAGAGATTCTGCAATATGGTCCTCAATGAAAAAAGTCCTCTACCCAATGCTTGCCTGCAATTACGAACTCGTGATTGCAATCACATGATTTTTCTGCTGTAGGCTGAAAAAGTCGGAAGGCGGATTAAATGTTTACCCAATTTTGCTACCAAAGTCAAAAGAAAAATTGTATTCGAAAAATATGAACCATGAAAGTAGACAGAAAACTGTTTTTCAAGCGCAAATTATAATTTGCTGTGTGCAGTCAGTAACAAAATCCACTGTATTTGGTTTTCGGCTATCATATGGAAGAAACCGATAGCATTGCAAAACACAAACAACAAAAAAGTGCAATTGCGTGATGATCACAAGAGTTATGTATCTTTTGTGGTACTCTCTACCTGCCCTGTATTATTGTAAGCCTGTTTACCACTGTGCTCGGTTGTATTTTTACTCTCTTTCTCTCTATTTTTTTGGGTTCACGATTCTTTCCTCCCCGGTTTCTTTTGTGTTAACATCGGTTTGGATTCAGCTCTTTTATATGCATTAATATACGAGTGCAGATGTTTATAGCTGGTGCTTTGCTGCCTGTTTAATTCCCTCTCGCAGTTTAGTTGCTGTCGCGCCGGCCCGTTTAATCACTGTATACACCGCTCACTGCGCATACAGTATTCGATGTTCACTGTTCGTTGTCGCTGGAACAAAAACACTTTTTGGAAATCATCTAGTTTGCCTTGCGTTCTTTTGTTCAAATATGAAAATTTACTAAAAAGTTTATTAGAATTTTAATTAAAAATTTCGTTTCACTTCACTTTGTTTCGTTCACAAAAATTTTCTCTCAAAACAAAAAATAGCCAAAAATATAAAACTCGATTTGGAAATTGAAAAAACCCCGATTAAAATAAAATTCGTGAAAGCAAAAACTGAATTCAAACCCGAATTGCCATTGCAAAGCAAGACAGGAAAAAAGCAACAACAAGCGTACAGCAACACTTTTATACGTTTCCAAAAGAAGAGAACGCTGTTTTTGCAACTCAACACAGCCACGAGGCCATCGGAGTCGCCAAGGAGCTAAAACAGAAATAATAGCAACGCCCGTGACAACAAATACAACACACACACCATACGATATCATCATTACTGCTGATTTTATAGTCACCAACCATTCAAATATCAACGAGTATTTTGAGTAATAAATCGTGCATTACGCCAACACTAAGAAAATAGCACTGTGTAACAATTTTCAACTCGCAAGAATAATAACCACAATAAGAGGGCACCACTGTATCAGCTAAGAGTTGGAAGCTTGAAAGGGGAATTGAGCAAGTGAGCAGTACTGTCAGTGGGGTGCGTCTTTCGTCCGATACGAGCAACTCGAATCACTGCTGCTTTTACGACTGCAGACAGTATTAGCAAAGCGATCAGTACACTTTCGCTTTTCAACATAGCCTACATATATTGATAGCTGCTCCACCCCTCCGCAAAGTTAGCGCAGCGCTAGAGATCAGAGTATTTTTTACTGTGCATTTCATTGTCTGATATTCGTAGCATGATGTTTCAGAGCGATTTCCATAGAAAGAAAAATTTCGCTAATCCTAATTTGTTCAATGTAATAAAATGCCTTTTTGTATAAATGTTGGAACATACATGAATCTACATTAATTGCTTTACGCTTTCAGAATTCCACTGCTGCGGAAAAGCCTGCACCTCCCCAGCAACCAACACCTGCAAGCGGCCGTCCCGATGCCAAAGAGGAAACCAAGGAACAAGAAGAAGTGCGTACAGAGCATCTTTTTAAGCACCCGCTGCATAATACCTGGACTCTTTGGTACTTGGAGAACGACCGCTCCAAATCATGGGAAGACATGCAAAACGAAATAACCAGCTTTGACACAGTTGAAGATTTCTGGAGGTTAGTAAAAAATAATTAGTACTGCATATTTATACTTCGACTTTGTGATTGAAATATTATGTGTCTGTGTAAAGAAATGTAAAACAAAAGGCAGTATTTGCTTTAATGAGTTGCGGTTAAATGTGTATCATAGTTCGATGCTGCCAACCGCTGTTATCACCATAGTTGAGTGTATGTAACCGAAATGTATTTGAGTCCGGCCCATGATTGTGATTTCAAGATTATTTATGCTGGTACAAAAGATAAATGCGTGAAGCTCAACTACTTCACCGTAAATGTGCTACTAAATTGAAGATTGTAAAAACAATAACAAAAAGTTTCACTGCAGCGAATCTCAAATACACCTTCACAAATAAAAAGTATTTCATACAAGGACTTAACTGGGTATGGCAGCTAAGCGCTATAAGGTCCCGTTATCGGCGGTTATCATTTATATATTTTATAGGGACTCCGAGGTTTTCTTCAAGGTATTAAAAACTGCTTATCTTTATCTCTATTTGCAGCCTCTACAACCACATCAAGCCCCCATCTGATATCAAATTGGGCAGTGATTACTCGTTATTCAAGAAAGGAATCAGGTATTATACATATTCATAATTCATTAATATGGTGGTATGCTTAATAATGTAGCATTTTACAGACCGATGTGGGAAGATGCTGGCAACAAACAAGGCGGTCGTTGGGTGATTACACTAAATAAGACTTCCAAGGCAGATTTGGACAATTTGTGGCTTGATGTTGTATGTACTTCAATATTAAATTTTATTTGATCAACTTGTTCTAAATATTTAACTTTATTGGCAGCTCCTTTGCCTAATTGGTGAAGCGTTTGATCATTCAGATGAGATTTGCGGTGCTGTGGTCAACATCCGTGGAAAGAACAATAAAATTTGTAAGTTTTGTTATAAATTTATGTTCGTACGAGATCTAACGGGTTTTCGTATTTTAAATATATAGCTATTTGGACAGCTAATGGCAATAATGAGGAAGCAGCACTAGAAATCGGAAATAAACTGAGAGAAGCCCTGCGTTTGGGTCGTCAAAATTTGAATTATCAGCTGCACAAGGACACAATGGTTAAAACGGGTTCGAATGTTAAATCGGTTTATACTCTCTAAAAAGTGTACGTACGCGCTTGTGTAGATTTAGCTAAACACACCTCGATACATTTACATACACACGCGCTGACAACATCGTTTGATCGAGTTAAGAAATTTCTATTGTACTAAGCCTACGTTTCTAAAAAGTGAATTCAGAAAATCTAAGAACTACAAAAAAAAAAAATTACATTACTAAAACCAACCCACACATTAATCGTTGCATATGAGCGCCGCTACCGGATTTCATGAACATGACAATTCGAATTTGTAGCCGTTCCGACGCCGTTAAAAGAATTTATTCAATTGTAGCTGTATATGCAAGGAAGGAGTGAATGGAAATAAAACCCACACATCGTAAAGCAAACTTCAAAATAATACATATGCAACATAAATTATACAAGAGATCTTTGTTAAATGAAGATACAAATTTGTTTTACCGTAGGAATGATCGAAGCAGAAATAAATACGAGACTGCAAATGACTGCTCGCTCCAGGCAAATTAATGACGAAACAATATAGACTACTGTTAATAGAATTAGTTCCAATTACAAAAAAAAATATATAATAATAATAATAATGTGTTGAGACTGCAAAGCAGGTCTTTCAGCTAATTATGTATCAAACTTGAATCTTTAAAGAAACGAAAACGTCTATCGTCATTATTTACTGGAAACGGCCTGGTTCGCATACAATTGTAGTCAGTACCGAATCCTATGCGTGTTATAATGTAAACGATATGAAATTAAACTAATAAATTTGATAAAACAAAAAAAATTTTGTTTCAATTCCTCGATTTATCTTGATGTATAATGGTTGGGCTTGTCAAATGTTTGACCTGGGGAGGCCATGAATTATCTGAGCCGCCCTAAATCATACGTACTAGGTATATTGTGGTCTAAATTGTAAAGAAATGAAGATTAAACAAAAGGTTCCGCAGTGCGGTGTCCTCTCCCGCTACTGCTTGTTTTCTATATCTCTCGAAACAACCTGCCACTAGAGGGAATTATCACATACATTTATGGCTGACTGAAGTTGACGTTAGGCACTGGGATCTCCTATTCCCTGCAAGGCGCCTAAATCTCTCCACTGCTAGATCTGCAGCAACCTAATCACAAACAATTCAAGGAAATACAGAGTAGACCTCGAAATTTTTGTCGACGAGTAAAATTCCGACAGTCTAACTTAATTTTGGTTGTTGTTGTTGTTGTAACGGCATTTTGGTCATTCATTTTGATAGTCGATACTCCTTCATTCCGCATACGACCACGATAATTACCAAGGTACAGAGCCGCAACAAGATCGTCAAGTGATACTCCATGCATGCAATTCCCACGAACATTACTATCTTTGGTCTTACCTAATTTTTTTCCAAAAAGGTTTTTTCTTTGCTCTTACCTCAATTTTTTTTTTTTGCACACGATTTCATCAACACATTGGGTAACCTGACCCTGATTAAGTAAGTTAATAACGTTTAAAAAACCACAACAGAAGCAGGGTCTTCAATTCTGTTCATTTATTGCAAATTATATTTAATTATACATACATATGCAAAAATAAGAGCTATTTAGAAAAAATACTTGGTATTTCCGATGTATATTTTTATAGTAATTTTATCACAAATAATCAGTACGATAAGATGTCATCAATTTTTCGACGTAAATCTTTCCGACGAGTTCGGTCCAAAGCATCTCTTATCATTCGTAAATGCATTTTTGAATCATTGCAATCATCCTCTTCAAATAATTTCAACACTTTGTATACACGTGTAGTGAGATCGCGAGGATACTGCAACTCGATTTCATCCATCATTCCTTCACGCAATCCCAGTTCACGGCCGAACATTCGCCAATGCGTACCTAAGTATTGTGAGAGCATTTTATAAATGGCAGCACGTTTATGCTCAGTTAAAACATATGGATGAATGTTGGAATTATTTAATCCAGTTGAAGATGTTGTCAATGATGCTGTTTCCAATGATGCAGACCGTCGCATATTATCGTAGGTAATATTGCTGTGCTGTGACGGTGTGCTGTGGCCATTAATTGTTAGTTTATTGGACAGTTCGTTGGCTAAATGCATATAGTGATATTGATTGGTACCTTCAGGCTCCTGAACGGAATTATGCAAGGAAAGAATATATTGAGAACATTTCTTTATTTATTTTCAGATAACTAACTTACTTTCTTGGGAGGAATATAACTATCAATAGCATCGTCGAGTCGTTTATATCCTAGGTTGCGAAGCGGCTCTACATTATGTTCATTAATAACATCGCGCCGTTCAAGACAGTCAATTAAATCAGTCATGGTTCTAATGCATTCGTAGCGACGTGGGGAATTAATGCCATTTAAAAATATGGATTTAAGTTCAGTCACATAATCTAGTGAAGACAGTTCTTGCGCTGCAATGTTTTTTAGTAAATCATAAGACCAATGTTGTGGTGTAGTATCTGCCATTTTAATGTTGATTTTAAATAATCACTATTCAATTAAATGTCAAAAACACCCATTCGCTTTAGTGATGTTGCCGTTGTCAGTTCTTTGGAAATCAATTCCAATCAAAATTTAAATTGTATTAAAGTTATTTTACATTTAAAAGTACTTTAAAAGTTTTACCATTAAAGATATTAACACATAGATTGCACTTTTATAATAATGTCAATGTCGGCACAATATTTCGTCGATATTAAAAGAGCAATCGATATAATTGTGCTGCCAGCTTATCTGTTCAGTAACTACTTTGGCTGTGTGCCTCAGTTGTTTGCAATGAGTTGGGTGTAAAAATTTTCTATAGAGTAATAACATTCCTTATTTAGAGTATAATTTCTGTATTGAACGGAATAAATAATAACATAAATAAATGAGTAATTACGAATAAATCATATTTTTATAACATACAGTGGCGGTCTGTAAAGCGCTTCAGTGGCAGCACTGTCATTCAAGTTAAAAATGTGGGGACTTTACCGGACAATTTCTAAAATAATAAAGGTAATTTCCCGCGTTGAAGTGTTGTTGATGTGTCAACCATCGTAAAGGAGGTGTCAACAAGGAAGGTCTTTCTTATAGAAACATTGCTTCAGTGCAGCCGAAATTAACGTTTTGTTTAAATTCAAAAAGCGCCTTGCTGGAAAAATACTTCAAATACCTTTACCGACGATCACGGAAATTTACACTTTCGTACCGGTATCGATATGATGGAAAACTGTCGATGCTGTGAAAAGTGCAGTAAGTATCCAAAAGATGAAACGGTGCCGTCTATTGACGTCCAGCTAAAAAATTAGAGACAACCAAGAGCGTTAAAATGTGGCAGCAGCGGTGGCAAACCACATTCAAAGGACGATGGATCCACACACTGATCCAAGGCAACCATTCGTGATTAGACAAATGACATATGGACCTGAATTTCCAATTAACCCAAATACTGAGTGGTCATGGATGCTTAAGAAAGTATCTGTTCCAAATTAATTATGAAGTTAGTTCGTATTGATCGACGTGTACAGAGGTCTTAGAAAACTCTGAAGATATATTTTTTCAGTGAACCCGGTTTTTTTTTTTTTAAATAAAGGATAAGCTAAAATCTACACTCGGCGGTAGGTAACGGTGGAAAATTTGACAATACATACATATGTGGCAGTGAGAAATTTACAATAGATTAGGCCGCATGCGAAGAGCTTGATAAGCTAGCCGAAGGTGTTATGCTCGAAAATTCTACGAAAAGTTGCAGCAACTAACAGAAGGTTTCAAGACCGAACGAATAAAGACCAAACTCTATAAGTCACTCATCATCGCCATCCTGCTATATGGTGCATAGGCTTGGGCGATGATAACATCTGATGATTCGGCTTTACGATTTTCCGAGAGAAAGGTTCTGCGAAAGATTTATGGTACTTTGCGCGTTGGCCACGCCTAATATCGTATTCGACGGAACGATGAGCTCTATGAGATATACGACGATATTGACACTAGTTCCAAGTGAATCTCCAATTATCGCCATATTGCAAAAAGAGAAACGACTGATGCGCTGTTGTTAGCTCGGTTATAACTGCGTAAGCGATGTCTACGACAGTAAAGAAGAAGAAATTTTGAAATTTGCAAATGTGGACTAGTTGGTAAGAAAAAAAGGCGGAAAGAAATATTCTATATTATGATATCTTCTTAGTACTAACGGAAAGTGCTTGCTTTTAATCAGGTGCACTCTCAATTTCGCAGAACTCTTCGAAAAAATTTGCTGCCTTCTCAGTCGATATATCAATACAACAAACACTGTCATTCATTTGGAATATTTATTAATAATTCTCATTTATCGCATAATTTTTTTTTATAATTTTTATAATTTTGCTTGTAAATTAATAAACAAGCCAAAAGCTTATAATCGAAAATAAGTACATACGTATGTATGTGTGGAAAACATCTTAAATTATAACGGTACTATAAGTATAGTAAGTATAATTACGCTGTTGAATTAAAGTAAGCTTCTAACTAAATAAACCGATAACATATTTTTATCATTTTAATATTATTTAACAGCTTTGTTCTTTGGCTTTCTTCCTAATTTATCTTCTGTAAGAATCTATGTATATATATTTATAAGTGTACATACATATATGTAAAATAGTATGAGTATAAGCTGCAATTGTAGTACACATACATACAAATTAATATGTAATCATAGATTTAAAATATTTAAAGACAATCGATATACTATTAGTAAATTAATCGATAAACGCTCTTTCTATGAGCTTAGCAATAAATTTTCAACAAATCGTTAAAAGCAACTTACAATAGCACTAAATTAGCATGTGAAATGTTGGTAATTATGAAATATTTTAAACGATTATTTATGCTACATAAACCGCTTACAATTAATGGCTGGAATCACTTAGTGTTCTTAAAAGCACTTGGAAACTTTACTTAATTAAGAAATATCAATCACAAAACACCATATTTTACGTTTTTAAATAAAATTATTGTTAATGTCTTTATGAATGCTTGTTTTCATTTCTCGCGCCGCAGTAATTCTAATTTCTCTAACATATACGCACTATTTATATAATGTACGTTTATTTTTCGAAGCAAAGCGTTGTCATACATATACACACATACATATTATATATTGTATATTGTATAAGGTTTAGATGAGTCTAATATTTTATTGACTTATTCTTTCTTCTCATTGTGAATATTCTACTCAACAGGCATCAGTTGCGTTCCACCGAAAGGAAGATTTGCCGCTATAGATTCCGTATACGAATTGGGATCATCTGCTATATAACCGACTTTGATGGTGATATCTGTTAAATTAGAAAGAGAAATGAAGATATTCAAATATATCATTAACAATTTCATATTTTCAACAAATGTATGTACATATATTTCAAAGTAACACAAACAGTTAAGGAAGTAAAAACCATTTTGAAAAATCATTTGGGCCTATAGTGGAAGTTCATGGTGATGATCATGAAACGTATTACTATTGACGATTAGTCCTGGATCCATGCTTATGACCTGGAAACAGACAATCAATCGGTCGAATATCGTGGCAGAGGTGAGTCGAAGTCAAAAAACCACGTCAAAGCAGATCAACAATTAAGGTTATGTTGAAAGTATTCTTCGGTTATTCGTAAATAGAGGCCGGAGTACTGTATCGATTGATTGACTACATTGATTTTTTGTGAAATTTTCGCCAAATTTTCAACCAATATCTACCACAACCACCGTATTCACCTGATTTAGCTCCGAATGCGGGTTCAGTAGGGTAATCTAGACTGTTTTTTTTTTTATTTTTTTTTCATACAAATTTTTATTCTACAACAGAACTTTTTTCACATATTATGAGGTACATATATCGTGGAGTGTATAAACAATTTTTTTTTGGAAGTTTTACTGGTCAATTGTCTCCGAGCACCTGGAGAGTCAGGACAAACATTTTTGCGCAACATGATTCTGTGAGTGCAGAGGTACGCGATTTAATTCTGTGTGAAACTCGGTAAATCTGCGACAGAGACGTTTGATATGATCAAGCACGCTTACTCTGTTTTAGCAAGAAGTGGTATGTTTCGGTGACATCAGGCCTTTTTGAGAAAGCCGTGACGAGGTCGCTGATGAATGAGCAAATTCAAAGTGAAATTGATGCTCATTGTCTTTTTTGACATCAAATGCATCGCCCACCATGAATTTGTTCCTCTTGGACAAACGGCCAACACCAATTTTTACGAGGATGTCCTTAAGAGACTCAAACGAAGGGTCAATCGAGTCCGGCAAGACATCGTAGCTGATTGGAAGTTGCACCACGACAACGCCCCGGCTCACACCGCCTTTCTTGTGAACAGCTACCTAACCAAGACCAGCATCCCAACACTTGCGCAGGCGCCCTACAACCCAGATATACCCCCGGACATATTTTAGTGTCCTTGCCTGAAAAGGCCAATGAAAGGCAAGTATTTTGAGACGACAGAGGGGATTCAAAGAGCATGCACTTCGGCGTTCAAGGAGAATGCCTTCCGTGACGCCTTTAATGCTTTAAATCGCGCCGGCAGCGCTGCCTGGACGCAGAAAGGAGCTTACTTTAACGATTGGTTTAATAAAGTACTATTTCTTTCCGGACAAGCCCTGTATTTTAATTTACTCTCCTATTAGTAGTAATGTCTCGTTTCAAAGGAATAATGCTCTACTTGCAACGTGTTATTCGATCGAGCGAGTGAAACAGGTTACACTTATCAAACTGTACGCAACCTAATCTGTTGCAAGCGAAATTTACTCAAAAAACTCATAAAGTTTATTTCTAGAGTTTTTCAAAAGGTTTTGTGCTTTTGTTTATAATTTATTTCTACATGCGAATTTGAGAGATTTTCTACATTGCTGTCTCTCAATCTAACTCTTATGGCATCATCCTTGGTTGCATGTCCTTTGCCTCTGTGAGACTTTGGAAAAAATATAGTTTTCATGTGTGCATGTGCCAAAAAATGTATGGTTGTTAGTGTTAGTGTATTTACATATGCATTTAGTATGTCTCCTATTTACATCTTATATCTACATATCTATTGCATGTGTTCTGTTTACCGACTTTTACAATTTATCTCTGCATTGGAATTGGTACTTGGGTAATATTAAGTAAAAACTTGCGATGCGGCATAGAAGTTTGGCCGACGAGTACTCGGGTGTTTTTCAGACATGTAGTTTTCAATGAGGCAATACGTTTTTCGGAATTAGTCTTTTTGAGAGCCGTTATTTGATTTATACTCAGTTATACGCGTCCGCCATCGCGCGTTACAATTGGACCACTGCTCATTCACTTAATGGCAGATTTTGTGGAAGAATCTTAGTTTAAGGATTTTCAAAATCCAATTCGTGCAAGAATTGAAGCCGAACGACTATCAAACGCCACGCATTTTTGATGAATGGGCCCAAAACGAGACGGCCACCGATCTCGGTTTTCCCAAGAATATTGTGTTCAGCGATGAGTTACCTTTTGGTTGCATGATTACCAAATATTAATGACAAACATTTTCAAATTTGTAGTGATGATAGTCTACAAACCATCGTTGAGATGCCGTTACGTCCTCAAAAATATACTGTATGGTTTGTCCTAAGTTGAGAGGAAATCATCCAGATTCATATTTCGTCAGAAATTTAGCCGACCTTTTTGAACCTGAGGCTTCCAAAATATCATACAGCCAACGACACAATGAATTTGTTGAAGGAAAATTTTTGGTATTTTTCAGTATCTCACATCGTGGCCTGGCCTCCAAGTTTTTTTTTCGCCACCATTTGTAATACAATTATGAGTACTTTTTTAAATGGCTTTCAGTTCCTTCAGCGATCGACTGAAAACGTGTTCCATGGAGCAGCAATTTCAGTTTGGGGAACAAGAAAAAATCCCACGGAGCCAAATCTGGTGAATATGGTGGTTGATCGTTGGTATTCAATGCGCTTTTGGCTTTAAATTCGGTCACAATCGTGGTTCGATGCGATGATGCGTTATCATCGTATCAAATCCAAGAAATGTTCTTCCAAAATACCGGCCCTTTTCGTCGAATGTTCTGACGGAAACGCCTCCTTATTGACCGTCTTTCCCTCCGAAACAAATTCATCATGCACCAAACCATAAATATGGGAAAAAAGAATGAGCATCACCTTGATTTTTGACCGCCTTTAGCGGCATTTACAAGGTGCCTTCCAAAGTATAGAGGACTTAAAAAAAACAAAAACAGAAAAAATGTTTTTTTCGGCAAAATCAATTTATTTTTCTCAAAATAGCCTCCTTCTTCTCCAATACACATTGCACGGTCCAAAAGCATATCGAACGAGTGTTTTAGCTCGTTGCCCGGTATGGACGCCAGTATGCCGGTGCAAGCCTTTTGAATGGCCTCTACGTCTGCATAACGCTTACCTTTCATGGGAAAATTAATTTTTCCGACAAGGAAGAAGTCACACGGTGCCATATTAGGTGAATACGAGGAGTGGTTAATGGTTAAAATGTGGYTTTTGGTCAAATAATCGTCCTTCGAATGTTGGATTCTGAGCAATTTTTGGTCGTCAGTCAATTTGTGCGGAACAAATCGTGTACACACCTTTCGTAAGCCCAAATGTGCGGCCAAAATGTCATAAATCAATGTTTTGGAGATGTTCAATTCTATTTCCATGAATTTCACTAAAGATTTAGGCTGATTTTTGATGAATTCACGCACAGTTTCGATGGAAATTCCGGTGATCTCTAATTTTGATTGGTCTACATGTTGATCGTCATTTATGTCCCCACGACCACTTTGAAAACGTTGAACGCATCTTGTATTTCCCTCCACTCCGATGATTGTTGACTCGTTAAACTCATAAAAGCACGTCTCACCGGCAGACATAATGCTCTTCATGAAATATCCCCAAAAATCATTCGAAAGGACTCGCGACTTGCTTGACGATTTTTTTGTTGGTATAATGTATTTCTTCTTGAAAGCCACAAGTCTCAAAAAAACACGCTTATATCATCTCACAACACAGCATATAAATCTAAATATATTTCGATTTTGAGTAGCGGAATATTGTTACTTAAATAGCGCAAAAAATTAGTTACAACAAATCTTAAATGTGCATTAATTACGGACATAGAGCAAAGCAAAAGCGGAAACATAACCACAAAACACACAGAGAAACACAAAACATGAGTACAAAACATAAAATAATGCATAATCAAAATAATTACGGTACAAAAAAAAAAAAACGGAACAAAATACAACAAAATGCTTACCTCAAATATGTTTGTATGTCAAGTGGACTTAGGCGAATGAACTAAATGGCATAAAAAAAATACTAAATAAAAAGTAAATGAAAAGTAAATAAAAAAACATGTTTTCGTTGAAATATTTTTGAATTTCGATATATTTTTATTATCATTACCATTTTTTTCAAACGTAATCATTCATTTTTCTTGACTGTTAAGATTAAAGAAGTAAAGTCACTTAAACAATGTAAATACAAATAATTATCGTAATGTTTATAGACACGCTTAGCAGCATTATAAACGGTAGTTTTTTTTATTTTTATTAAAGTAATGAATTTTAATTTCTTCTTCTTCTTGCCTAAGCTAGCTACAGCTAATTAGTTATACTTAAAATTAAACGCAAGTTAATTAATTAAAAATAATAATAATTTACAAAACGTTTATGTTTATACTTAAGCAAAACTTAAGAAACGACATTTGAGTAACGATTTCTTATGCGGTTTAGTGAAATGTTGCTTATAAAGTTTTACTTTTGGTTTTTTTTTTGTTTTTGTTTTTGTATAAATTTATGTTTTATAATTATATTTCTCTTTGCTTTCTTACTATATTTTTTGCGCTACATATTAACAATTTACAAAAGTTTATTTTATGCTTTACTTTTTATTAATTACAATAAATTAATTACAAAATTATAATATTTGGTATCCGTTCTATTTCTACTCAAAATATATGTATGTATATGCCTTTGCATGTCGACTGCAAAAGGGTGTGTAAAGGGTTTACGCCATTTTTTTTCGTATTCGTTGCTTTCGTCATTTAAACTGCCAAGTACGCGACAGCTGGCGTACTTTTTTCAAATATTAAAACATTACAAAATTTTTATCGGTTATGTTTCGGTTATAAACTGGTTAAAATCACGTGAATAATTTTTTATCGGTTATGTTTCAGTTATAAACTGGTTAAACACACGTGAATAAATTTTTATTATCGGGTATGCTCCGGTTAAAATAACGTGTACATATTACTGTTTCGGTTATAAACTGGTTAAATTCACGTGATATATAACCGCTTTCGCAC